AATTAGTTTGTTGAACTTTTTAAATTTCGTGCTGTTTTTCAAATTATTAAAATTGGGCCGGCCCAGTGGCGCACTGCTACAGTGCGCCGCTTGAGAGCGCAGCGGCGCTCCTGCCGAGGGTTCGGATCCCACATACAGACCAGTTCCCGCTCACTGGCTGAGCGAGGTGCGGGTGCAGCACCGAGGTTTGCGATCCCGTTGCCGGTCCCGGTCCGGTCCGGGCGCAACACTGAGGGTTGTGATCCGTTGCCGGACACGAAAAAAATACAAAAAGGAAAAAAAAAAATTATTAAAATAATAGATGCCGGGGCCGGCCCGGTGGCGCACTGCTATAGTGCGCCGCTTGGGAAGCGCAGCGGCGCTCCTGCCGAGGGTTCGGATCCCACATACAGACCGGTTCCCGCTCACTGGCTGAGCGAGGCGCGGGAGCAACACCGAGGGTTGCGATTCCGTTGCCGGTCCCGGTCCAGTGCGGGGGTGACACTGAGGGTTGCGATCCGTTGCCGGACACGGAAAAAGACAAAAGACAAAAAAATAAATAAATAAATAATAGATGCCTGTTATAGCAAGAGAAACAATACAATGCAAAGATACATAAAGGCAAAGTCTCCCCCATCCATTCTACTTTCCTACAGTAACCAATTGTGTGTACACCTTTATAAAAAATATATGTGTGTATACACATAGAGATTTTGTTTGACTTATTTACACAAACACACACACTTTTTCCAAAAAATTGATGTACAGACTGGGGGTGTCTGGAATTGAGGGCTAGTGCCTTTATTTTCTTTTTTCCGCCTTGTCTTTCCACTTGCATTACTCTTCTCCCCCTTTCAGCTTCTCTTTCTCTCACTTTCTCATGTTTACTCTCTTTTGCTCTCTCTCTCATAGGGGAGGGGAAGAAATTCCATCCTTTACAAAAATAGGATTTCTTACACTTCTGCATTTTTGTCCTCATTCCATGTCTTGTATAAAGCCTTCCAAGCCCAGGGGCTGGCCAGGTAGATCAGTTAAAGCACAGTCTTGCAACACCAAGGTCAAGGGTTCAGATCCCCATACTGACCAGCCACCAAAAAACAAAACAAAAATAAATAAAATAAAGCCTTCCAAGCCAATTAATATAGATCTAATTGGTCACTTCAAAAAAATATAGGTTCTCTTCTAATTTGTAGGAGTTCTGTATTGTAGACATTAACTCTTTAATATCATTGCAAATATTTATTTTTAGATCTATTCTTTATACACTGATTTTATCTTTGGCCATACAAAGATAAAATTGTCATACAGTCAGAATGTTTATTTTTCCTTTCATAGCATCTGGATTTCTTATCTCGATTGAGTCATTCATTCATCAGATTTCACAGTACTTTCATTTTCTGTCTTCGTTTAGGTGTCTCCTAATCTCTTTAATATATATATATATATATATATATATATATTTTTTTTTTTTTTTTTTGGCAACTGGCCAGTATGGAGATCTGAACCCTCCATCTTTTTTTTTTTTTTCTTTTTGTCTTTTTTACTGACCGGTAACGGTATTGCAACCCTCGGTGTTGCGCCCGCACCACGCTCAGCCAGTGAGCAGGAACTGGTCTCCACATGGGATCCGAACCCTCGGCGGGAGCTCCGCCACGCTCCCAAGCAGCACACTCTCCAGTGTGCCACCGGGCTGGCCCTGAACCCTCCATCTCTTGATTATAAGTCTAGTCTCACACATATGTTCTAAGATTTTTAATGTTTTGGTGATCACATTTAAATCTTTAATCTATCTGGAATTGAGTTTTACATATGATATGAAATGGCCCAATTATTTTAAAACAGTTATAGTTTTTAAATATTAGGATTAGAGGGCTGGCCCCGTGGCTCACTCGGGAGAGTGCAGCACTGGTAGCGCGCCAAGGCCGTGGGTTCGGATCCTATATAGGGATGGCGAGTGCGCTTGCTGGCTGAGCGTGGTGCGGACTGCACCGTGCTGAGGGTTGCAATCCCCTTACCGGTCAGGGAAAAAAAAAAAAAAAAAAAACTTAGGATTAGAGATTTCTTATTTTGTAAAAATCCAACTACATAACCCAAATCAGCAACTGAGAAGTATCCACCAGACAGTTCTGAGTGAACTCAAGGATGAAATTGTGGAATCATTAACCCTGCTGCCATGCTGAGCACTGAACAAAGGAGGGAGTGTGACAGCTGCTAGTCAGTGGGGTTCCGTATACCAGCGCCAACGAAATTTTTAATAATACATTCTTAGAATATAAGCAAAACTGTTACATTAAAGGTGTATTTTAAAAAAGACTATAAGCATACTGACCTACAAGGGAGAAGATAGCATGCTTTTTTTGTAAATAAAAAAGTAATTTCTGATTAAGGGCTGGCTGGTTAGCTCAGTTAGAGTGAGCTGTTATAAAACACCAAGGTCAAGGGTTCAGATTCCCATACCAGCCAGCCTTCAAATAAAAAACCAAAAAAAATAATTTCTGATTAATCTAATAGAACTCCTCATAGGGGTTGTATTAGTTTGCTAGTACTACCATAACAAAGTACCACAGACTGGGCGGATTAAACAACAGAAATTTATGTTCCACAATTCTGGAGGCTAGAAATCTGAGATCAAGATACCAGCAGGGTTGTTTCTTCTGAGGCCTCTCTCATTGGCTTGTAGATGGCTGTATTCTCCCTATGTGTATCTGGGTCCTAATCTCCTCCTCCTATAAGGACACTAGTCATACTGGATAAGGTCCCACTGATATGATCTCATTTAACTTAATTACCTCTGGGCCGGCCCGTGGCTCACTCGGGAGAGTGCGGTGCTGATGGCACCAAGGCCCCGGGTTCGGATTCCATATAGGGATGACCGGTCAGCTAGCTGGCTGAGCGTGGTACTGACAACACCAAGTCAAGGGTTAAGATCCCCTTACCGGCCATCTTTAAAAAAAAAAAAAAAAAAACCTTAATTACCTCTTTAAAGACCCTATCTCCAAATACTGTTACATTCTGAGGTACTTGGGGTTAATAATGCAATGAATATGAATTTATTCAATTTATTTAATTTTTTTTTGAAAAGCTTTAACAAGATTTCTCCACTGAAGACTTTACTTAAAGAAGTAACCAAGGAATTGAGATTACCAGTTTGTTAAATCAATGAACAAGGAAACAAATGAATACATCAATATATAATGAAGTAACTTAGGTTACAGGTAAGAAACAATGAGTAGAGCTAGAAAGACACTTTTCTATAAGAAACGAATAAGGATTGGTGTTAAGACTATCTTAGGCTGGCCAGACAGCTCAGTTGGTTAGAGTGCAGCCTTATTAACACCAAGGTTGTGGGTTTGGATCCCCATACTGGCCAGCCACCAAAAAAAGACAACCAGATTATCTTAAATTCTTCGAAAAGAATAAAATATCCATGTTTACAGGTAATCTGATTTCTTCTAAGTAATGAAAAATCAAAGCATAGGGATAAACCTGAAAGACCGTTTCAGACAGTATAGAAAAAAAAATTTAAGTGAATTTAACATGAATAAGTAAAAGGTATTATATTTATAGGTCAGTGGTTCTGAATGTGGGTGGAGGGTGGGGAGGACAGAATGCCTTCCAGGGATAAGCATGTCAGAACTGGGAAAAGGAGGCAGTGCTTTTTCAAATTATACTTTCTGAAACTTTGATTTTCTATCACTCCCTCCACTCCACCCCAATCTCTGTTGTAGTGCACTTTTTTTTTTTTTAAAGATGACCGGTAAGGGGATCTTAACCCTTGACTTGGTGTTGTCAAGTTGTAGTGTACCATTAAAGAGAGTATGTTGAAAATGTCCTCATTTGGTAAGAAATAATCAAACTACACTTACGTAATCATGGTCTCTAATATATCTTATATGACCTAGGAAAGAGACCCTAGTGACATTATGTTAATCATTTTCTAAGGACCTTAAGTCACTGTGTTGCTGTTACCAGAAAGGCAATATTATGTTGGGTGGCCTGAACATTAATTAACACTGGGCCAGACACACAGTATCATAAAATCCTCTGCATCTGCCCTTTGAAAAAATATCACAGAAATATGAAACCCATCTGCCACAATTAAGAACCAGTGGTTATAATCCTGTCATTTTATACATAAGGAAATTAATATCCAGAGAGGTTTAAATGACTTGTTTAAAGACACTGAGATAGTTATTGGTGGGTCTCGGCACCAGGTCTGCTTAATTCCAATCTAATGCTCTTAACTACTACTTTGGAAACCATTAATTCTTATTTCTAGTATTCAGGGTTTTTATCTAATGTGCAGTTCTGGTCACTACAACTTTGAAAAAAAAGTAATAAAGCTATAAAAGTATCTGAAGAGAAACAAATGAGATAAAAGAATAAAGGATACATTCTTTTATTTATTTACATCCCAATCTCATTCCAAAAAGGCTTACAAAGATGCAGATAATATTGTAATATTAAAAAGATTAAAACTTAGAAAAATGAGGATAAGGAAAACAAAGGCAGAAAAGGAAGATGGAACTATAGACACTTGCTGGAAGTGGGCCACAAATTGGGCTCTAAGTGATCTAGCATCAGCACAAAGAGAAAAATACAGTTGAATATTTAGTGTTCTTAAGGTAAAAATCAAACAGCAATTCACAAAAAGCAATTCTACAGAGGCCAATAAAATGCCAGCTATGTACAGGGAAAATCTGGGTTAATCCAGAGACAAAATCAATAAATAGAAGTACGTAGAGTGCTCTCCAGACTCTTTGGTCTGGAAGGAAAGATCAGATAATCTTAAGAATAACATGGTCTAGATTAAAGCATATTTTTCCCTCAAATCTCGGAACAAAAATGAAGCTTTTGAGAAGTTAGCTTAAGAAAAATGAAGACGTTGGGCCGGCCCGTGGCTTGGGAGAGTGCGGTGCTGATAACACCAAGGTCGTGGGTTCAGATCCCATATAGGGATGGCCGATTAGCTCATTGGGTGAGCGTGGTGCTGACAAACACCAAGTCAAGGGTTAAGATCACCTCACCAGTCATCTTTTTTTAAAAAAAAAAGAAAAATGAAGACGTCATAACGTCCACATGATATTCCTTACTAAAGGAAAAGGTTCTTGAGATACATCTCTAACCTTAAATCTTAAGGTTGACATCATACCTCTTAATCCCTGGTTTGCCCATCAGAAAGTGAATCCTGGGCTGTCTAAGGAAAATTACCAGTTTAATAATCCTTATGTGTTTCGAAGATGTTTTGTTTTGGAAAAGATGTGATAGCTGTTCCAGTTACTCCTAGAGAAGATATTTAACCCAGTCATGTTTCAGTTTCTACTCATATTTTCTTACATTAGGCTGTTAGATTCACTTTTCAGTTTTAAAAATTAGATTTATTGCAGACTGACCTTGAGACCCCAGATCATACTTTTTAGCTGTGTATTTAGGAGTTGAAATGCCAGCTTTTGAGACCTTTGAAAAGCATTCATATTGCTTCTGACAAGCCTACTAAACATATAAGTAGCACACTGGGAGCCCATGAAATGTCATTATTGCCCAAGAAAGGAAACATGACAGAGAAACAAGAAGAGGGAAAAGTGGAAGAAGCCTCTGGCTGACAACTTGAGAAGTGAAGGAAAGGAAAAGGTCACCACCCTGATCTGAGATGTTGAATTGAGAGGTGGGTTGTACGATGGGGAAGGGCTAAGGCCAGTTGTGGCTGCCAGTAGGAGAATGCCCAAAATTGGAGCTTTGGTCCAACACCTAGAAGAACAGAATGGTAAGGGGCTACACAGTAAAAACACACTGGCTCATCAAGGTGGTCATACTGAGTTGACAGTGGAGGATATCCTCAGGTTCCCAGCTGGGCCCCAATCTAAAACAGAGAGGCTCAATCAGGGATGGGGTGGACCAGGAAGGACTCCAGATCACAGTCAAAGTCCTTGAAGAACATAGACTCCGATGGACTGGGCTGGGTAGCTTGTGCCTCCATGACAAAGTTCACTGGTTGCTTCTGTAGGATCTCTGGGTCAAAGGCCACACCCCGAAAGAAAGGGTGGACTTGGAAGTGATGCAGATAACGGAGACGGTGGAGAGGATTCTGGCATAAAAGCTGAAGGGAAATACAGCATAAAGGATGAGGAACTGGGATAGTGAAGGGGCTGAGCAGAGAAGATGGAAAAGGAGAAAGAAGTTCATGGAGTTGTAGAGGGCAGGAAGAAGAACCCTAAAGAGTAGATTTGTAAAACAAGGAGAAACAGGCTAGAGGCAAAGGTGGGAATAAGGGAACTGTATTTGTGAGTTTCCAGATGTTAAGAGTGCGGCACTGGTTCACTGTCTCAGAACGGACCTATCTGTTCTGAACAGGGAGGAAATTTGGGGGATAGGCACTGAGGAATGAAATCTAAAGTACTGGTTAGAGGGCAAGTAGTTAGGTGGTTGGAGCACTGCCCCACACCCTTCTGCCAATTAATCAGAGGATGGGGAAGTATCACTTCAATAATAGGGGAAGGAGAAAGTGAACGGTTTGGTAGTCAAGAAGGAAAGTAGTGCTCACTCTTACCTCATGGAGCAGGAGTGAGAGCCCCTGGTTAAGAGAAGCTGGGATCTCAGAGTCACAGTGGGTCACACTTGCTAACATGGCCACATGATCTTTCTTTGCAGCCACTGGGAACTAAGTTAAGAGGTAGGAGATGGGGGTAAAATATTCCTTAGTAGGATAAGGCAAGATTTCCTAAGGACTTCTTCCCACCACAGGGCAAAGCCCCCTCTCTTCTCTACCCACACCACTATCATTCTCTCACCTTTCCAGTTGCCAGAGAGAAAAGCAAAACACCCAAGGACCACCAATCGGCAGCATGGTTGTAAGGCCCTCCACTCAGGACCTCTGGGGCTACAGATTTGAAAGATAATTGTCATTGACATCCTTTGGCTATCCTCTTGCCCAATGCTTACCCACAAGCTTTATAGCCTCTCTCACCCATGTACTGAAGAGTACCACAAATAGTATAGGCTCTGGCTCCCTGGGGAAGGTGGCGGGACAAACCAAAATCTGTCAGTTTCAGATGGCCTATGAAAGAAAAGGCAAAAGCACCACTCTGTTCTACCCCTCATCAGCCATGATTTATTCCCAAACTGAGGTACCTCTTATCCTGGAGCTAGGGAAGTAAAAAACTTACCTCGTTCATCCAGGAGGATATTCTCCATCTGAAAATTCACAGGTGAGAAGTTACTATTCTTCCTCTTCCTTTCAACTCTTTCCTCATGTATACCCCCCAGCTGAAGAAGATGCCCTAAGTATTCAAATCTATAGTTGGATGGCCCTTGCCCCAAGGTCAGCTATTCTCAGTTCCCTCCTTGCCCTCTTGGACCTGTATAAACTTCTGAGGCTTTTCCTCAAAGAGAAAAAGCACTTAACTCTACCTTCACATCTCGATGGATGATGCCCAAGTCATGGAGATAGCCTGTGGATGACAGCAAGCATGGGGTGTGCTGAGGCTCTTCTGTCCTTTCCAGTTTCCCTAGAAGCCCCCACTTCATCCTTTCCCTATTCTTTGACCTCCAGAGTTAATATAAATTCTCCTCTCTCCTCTCCCACAACTTAATTCTTCCATCCCCATTTCCTTTACCATTGTTTCACTTACATAGCACCAGGACCAGCTCAGCAGCAAAGAGACGGACGGAAGCCTCAGGAAAACAGCCAACAGCAGACCACAAGGAGTACAGATCTGTGCTGCAGTAGTTACACACTGCAAAGCACCAGAAGTCTAGGCAATGTTTGGGGGCCACAATGCCTGGGCTCAAGGCATTGTAGGCCTCTTGTTCAAACTGATGCTACCTGCTATTCCCTCTCCCTTTGGGATAGAGAAGTGCTATGAGAAGGGGAACAGAGCAAAGGCAAAACAAGCCAAAAGAGACAGGTAATCTCAGGTATGGAGTATTATCATCTTGGGGATGAGGAGAGAGGCCAGTCACTCACTAATGAAGAGGTGCCGTTTTCCCTGCCAGCTGTCCCCCAAGCTGTGTACAAAAGGATGGTTGATCTGTCGCTAGGGACAAAGAAAACAGGAAGTTAGGGAGGAATACTGTCATTGAGGATAAAAGCAGCCAAGAAATCAGGCTTTACCTAGTTGTGCAGAAAGGGAGCTGCTGCCTCACCTATCAATTCAGAGGAATTCAGTAATTGGGACTTACTGCCTGGTAATCCTGGAACCAGCATAATACTAAGGAACACACTGGGACATGCTAGAGAGATTTCCCTGGCAGGACCTGGAATAACCACGTTAATAGCTAATATCTACTTTTCCCAGATCTTTGTTGTTAAACTAGGTTGAAGCAGATGGAAGGGGAAGAACCAGGAAAAGCATGATAATTGGACAAGAAAGGTGCTTTCCCTACCATTGGTTTGGCTCTTCCCACAATCCTTTCCAGGACTCTGTACATACCTGGATGCTAACCTCCTCTTTGCACTGCCTTAGGGTGTCCATTTGTAGGACCTTTACCTTGGGTAGCACCTATAAAAGGAAAAGAGTGATGACTTATAGAAGAGGACAGTGCTATTGAATAGTTTATTCTTCCTAACCTCTCCCTGGAACCAAGATTGGAAGCAGGACTAGAAAATAATGTGGAAGAGTAGCTAGGCCCCTACCTTCACTGCAAATACAGCTTCCTGGGCACAATCTAGCACCTTGAGGACAGTTCCAAAGGAGCCTTTAGCCACAAGGCCTAAAATCTGTACACAGAAATGGAGAACAGGACAATTAACATAGTTGTTTCTACATTTCTCTCAAAAGACGGACCCCTCCCAGGGAACTATTGACCTACCTTCAGCTGCTGCTGCCCCCTAATGGGCCTAAGGGGAAACTCCGGTAGAAAGAGGCTGATGAACTGAGGCACTGGCCACTCAGACAGCAGTGGGGCTGGCTCTAGGGGCTCCTGGTGCAGGCACTGATGACCCCGTAGCTCCCACAGCTCTTCCAGACCTGACCTGATGGTCCCCAGACCTGACCAGAGGCTCTTCCAGGCTCTGGCCCAGGAGCCCTGGAGGTTGCCACCCTGCTGAGAACCAAGGGAGCCACTCTAAACCTCTGCCCCCGAGGCACTGCAGATTCTTTCCATCTCAGCAGGCATTCTTCCCCTTAAATCTTAACCCCTAGAGGTACATTTTTGAGCACTAGGCAAAATTCCATGACCCTTGCTTTGTGCTAAGGCCTGGATTTCTTGGACACAATTTAAATCCTCTAGGAAAGCAATTACTGGATATGTTCCCCGTGACGCACCAGTAATACAACCTGTGCCTCAGTATGGGGCTGCGATGCTTTCACAGTATAGCCTCCTTACCCCACCCTCACATTGGGTATCACTGACATGCTCCCCACACCAGGCACTTCCCAGACCTCAAGCCCATGTCTCATTCACCTCCCCTCAACAGGCTGCCAAAACCTCACAGCGTACCTTGTGAGAAGCAGCCACCTGAGTGTGTTGCCCTTGCCGACAACTCACTGCTCCCATCCCCAGTCTCTGCCTCCTCTCTCCTTCTGCTAAATCTGCTGTCCCAGTTACATAAGTAATTCCTCCCCCTGATGCTGCGTTACACATGAGCTCCGCCTCTTCCAATGTGCAGAGATTCATCAGCATGGAGCCTTTATCACACTAGGACTGGAAAATATGTGATACAGCTTCAGGGCAGAGGAGGGAAGAGGCCACCCTCATTACAGTGACAGCTACAGGATGTGTTGGGTTAATGGGGAAAGAGGGACACGGAACGGTTGAACACATGCACTCAACACAATCACAAAAAAAATAACCAGCATCAATGTAAAATATTTTTTTTCTCTTTAAATCTTTTTTTTTTTTTTTTTGCCATTCTCCAGTATATACCCCAAGGGGAAGAGTAGGGAACCCATGGCCAGCCCTGGCTCCTATTGCCATCCAAGTGTGCTTGGCACAGACTGGGGAAGAGGAGCTGGTTCCCCCACAATACTAATACCTCTTTCATACAAGGCAGTGGAGTGAGGGTCAGAGGATCAGCCCCCTCCTCTCAGTTTCCTGGCACAGAGGGAGAGCAGTTACACTTAGAAATATATATATATATTTATATATATATTTATATTTATATATATGTCTATTTATAAAAATTTATCATACTTGATCAGGACCATCCCCCCTACCCTTTCAGTTGGCCCCAAGGGAACAGGGTCCTGCTCTCAGACCATTCCCTGGGTCTTGCTCTCTTGTTGCTTCTCTGGTGCAGGGCCTGTTCAGCTTAAGATGGAATTCAGCATTATTGTCCACCATGCCCTGCAGGGAACAGGCCAGGTGCTAGTGGTGCCTCTCTTCATAGCACCCTGTGTGCTCCTGACCCTCACAAATCCTAGTGGATGAAGGGAAACCCCTCCCCACCCCACAAGTCCCTGGGGCCTGAGCCCGAGTCAGATCCTGTACTGCAGCCACTCAGATTGCCAGATCACTTGCGCCTGCCAAAGATGGACTTCTTGCCAGGATTCTTGTCGCCCACACTTAAACCGATGAGGAGCCGGGCTTTCTCCTCCTCTTCTTGCTGTTGCATGTTCAGGTCCGATTTAGTTTCTAGCTTTCCCCGGACCTCAGACCCTGTTGCAGTCTTCAGCCTTAGCTTCTCTTTGATTACCTGGCAGGTTGGAGAGGAGTAAAAGGAAAGGTAAATATTAGTGGGACAGTCAGAATAAATCAAAATGAGCTGAGTCAACAAAGATTTATTAAACTTACATGCAAGGCACATGGGGCAATTCAAATTTTAAAACGGTTTCTGCTTTCAAGAAGCTTACAGTCTAATTAGAACCCATTTTAAAACAGGTTGGGTCAGCCCTCAGTTTCCTAAAATCAACAATAGTTAACATATGATATACTCAGTAAACATTCAATTTAATCATCTGGGTGAAGTCATGGAGGAGGCAGAGATAGATGTCACTCACTCCATTTACCTGTTCCTTCCCAAGGATATTTGTTAATATATCCTAGAATTCAAGGCTCCTGAGCAGAAGATCTGCCTGCCAGCCCCTACTATCCAAACAGCCATGAGCCCTGGTGGGATACCTGGGCAACCAGGGCTTTGCGGCTGTCCCTTTTGACAGCCATGGCAAAGTCTAGCCATGTCCATGTGTTGTTGTGGTACTCCAGACAGGGCAGCACCAGGTTAAGGTCACCCCAGTCCACGCTGTTTTTCTCACCCTGCAAGAAAAGGAGATGGGTTATGGGTTTGGGGGCAGGGGAGAAGAGGGAAAAAACACATCAGCTGTCATTTTGAGTCCAAGACAGTACTTGAGTACAAGTCCTATAACAGCAACGTACAGATACTGAGTTCCCCTTATCTCAGCCTAGCAGTGGTGCTGACTCCTGAGTGAAGCAGAGGAAACAACACCTTCACAAAAAGCCTGGCTGTCTCTGCATAATACCTAATGATCTTACACTTCCCCCCATTCTAGAAAGTGCTATGGAGGTGCAGACCTTGTAGCTGACACACAGTGGAACCTGTGGAATCTTTATGTAGATGAAGGAGTTGTTCATGGCAGCTCGCTCTTTCATCTTGTCAATGTCATCCACAGGGTGCTAGGAAAGGCAGGAAAGTAGTGTGAGCCCCTGAAACCATCAGAAGAAACTCAGGAACCCAAATATCTCCCTCTCCTTTCACCCCTGGAATAGACTCAAAGGAAACAGAAGAAATCCCCAGCCAGGCCAAACACAGCACCGCAGGACTCTCCCATTTTTCTATCATCAGGGGCATGTCTGGTACCTCAGGTGATTTGCGAAATGACCTTCTGACCCCAGAACTCCGAGTCAAACCCTGTGCCACACCTTTCCCAGGGCCCATTGGTACTGCCTCATCTGGTGCAATCAACTGCCGAGGTTTCACCACTGGTATCCCTACAGAAAAACAAGCATACCAGCTGTCATCCTCTTTCTGAAGCTTCAGCTGTCTCTGGGGCTGCCACCCCATTTTCTGGCACTCCACCATTAAAATTCTCACCAGTAGTCACCAGTTTGGATTTATCTTCTTCATCACCAACTTCATCATCTTCCACACTTCGGCCAGGAAAGAAAAAGCCCATCATTCTATGGAAGAACTGGTGTGTCAACTGAATGGTGAGAGGCACCACATTAACCTAAAGGGGAAAAGGTTAAAGAAAGCAATTAAGTTCAGACACCATCCCTCAGTTTACCTATTCCTAATACTTGTATAACATAACATAACACACAGCTACTTTTTGACTGCCATTTGTTCCTGGGTCCCCAAGGGACTTTTTACTAACCTCAAAGTGCTCCTTAACAGAGATACCTCCAACAGGGGGCCGGACTTTGCTGAAGAGGCGGAGTGCTAGTTGTCGCCCAGACTGGCAGGAGCTCTGGGGCCGCAAGACTACCTGTATGATAGAATGAAAAACAATCCAACCCAATGTTCTGCCTACCATAAATCAACACTCAAATCCTCTAGAGAATGAGAGGAGAAACAATGGTCTTACTAAGCCAGGGAAGCTTTCACCATCTCATATCACCAGATTGTTTCCCACAGCGGGTCTATGTGGAAGGGCCACTATAAATGCCCTGTGCCAAGAAGCATGCGAATGGGGTGGGAATGAGGAAATAAGACTCGCCTTATAGACAGCATTGGGGAGGAGGTTGTTCATAGTGAACCAGCCCAACTCCAGAAGATGTTCTGCTGTGTCATCAGATTTATTCACCTATAAAGACAGATTTTGATCCTGTCAATTCTCAGCTTACCTGAGAATTGTTACATATCCTGTTTGTTCTCAGGTTCTTCATCCACATGCCTAATCCCAACATTTAATATCTTCTTCAGTCTTGTGAATTCAATGCACTCTCTAATCCAGTGTTTTTCATGGGCTCTACTGGCCAGGGCACTAAATGCTAGTAGTACTTCCTAATTATTGTGACATTAAGAAAATGTTCTCATTCATTTCCAAACATCTCTTGTGGGAGAAAGTAATAAATAATGTCCTCTCCCCTCAAGTCAATGAATAATTGCAGGAAAGCTGAATGGTTCTATTCCAAGCTGTACTTGGAAGATTACTTCCCTGTGGGCCACACTTCTAGAGACAGATAATCTTCTTACTCAGTGAAAGAAGCATTTGATCAAATGTTTCTATATCTGTATCATTAAATATTAAAAACAGATGTGTCTAAGGGGGCTCTGCTCATGTTTCTAATCATGACCATTATTAACCATATTAGCCCCCTTTTGTTCATCTCTTTTTATGAGCTGAACTCCTGAGATAGGTCAATGCCTCTCAATACTTCTGGCTTTGTGTGACTGAATACCCTGGATACCTTGCTGTAGAGGAACCTCTGCAGCTCCAGTTCAGCAATTCCCAGTTGTCCATCTTCCTCTGTCAGGCGCCACCGTGCCTGAGCAAAGTAAAACTCGGTGCGACGAACAACACTCACATCTTCTTGCTGCTTTCGCAGCTCCATCTTGTTGGCCCGCTGCAGCTGGAAATCCTTAAAACACCTAGAAGTGGACATGAGAGACAAAGCCAATAAAGGAAACGGCAAATAGGTTGGGAGTGGGGTGGAATGCTCTAGCATGATATAGGAGGTAAACCCAGAGATGAACCTATTCTGGCTTAGCTAATCCCTAAATTATTCCCCTGGATTTATTGTTCCTGACACCTTTGGCCATGACAACACAAGCCCCATCTTGCAGCTCTATAACTTCTTGATAGTCTTTCCACTAATCCCATGATCATACCTGTAATTGTGTTCCTCACTGATCAACTTCCAGATATTTTTAGTTCAGATACACAATATCAAGGCCACAAAAGTGATCTGTCTCAACTACCCATTTTTCTTGCAGCAGAGCCTTTCCCAGGAAGTACTCTACTGAGGACCCAAAGGAATGGCTGTCCTGTTTTCAACCTCTTTGGCCAAGTCCAGCAAGGCTCATTCAAGAATAGGCGCCTGAATTTACTCCATCAGCCTTTGGTAATGCACACTAGACCTAAAGACTCTCAGAACATGGGCAAGGAGGAGAAACCACCTCCAGCTGGGGCACTGGAAAAAGGCAGGGGAAGAAAGAATTCCAGGGCACCTGATGAGGATATTAAGCTCTTCACTTTCCATCTGCAGGTTGGCCTTCTCCTGGTTTAGCTGCAATTGAAGCTTTTGATTCAGGTCAAGCAGGTTCTCATTCTTGCTGTCATCCTGCAAAGACTAGGGAACCAGGATAGGAGAAACTGAGTGGAGATCTCCCTTATCCTAGGAAACCTCCCTGTCCTCAGGCTACCTGGGGTGACTACCTTCATGATAGAATACATCTGCTTCTCCAGCTGTCGTATCTGGGCCACATGCTGCCGCACGGCCTCCTGCAGGTGCAATATGCTACTGCGCTGCTCCTCAGGATTGCTAGAGATTTCAAGCTGGAACCTGACCCGCTGCTTCTTCTCACTATGCTCCTAAGAGAATAGAAAGGGAAATGAGTAAGATTTTTTAATAGACAAGTCTTGTAGTAAGGTGAA